CATGAAAGAACTCGGTACTGCTCCCCATAAATCTCTCTCACACACCACATCCCGCCTCCCCAAACTAGGGATTTCCCACCCCAGGCAGCACTGGTTTTATAATATTCTCCTTCCTGGTGCCTCTGATGTGGCAGTAAAATATGAGACCACCCACAGAGATGGAAGCTTTGTGGAATCAAGAGCTTCCCCCTCCCCCTTCCCAGGGCCAAGGATTTGACTGATTGGCTTGCTTATTCAGGGAGCTCATTATGAGAATAAACATATCAGGGCATTAGGAAGAGGTCCGCATTAGGGAGACAGAGCCCTTGGGCACAGTAAGGGTCACCCATTTTGCCTGAGGTCAAACGGCCAGGAAATTAGAGAGGCAGCAACCCCAGCCCCCAAGGCATCTAGAATTCCAGACCATCCCTACCCTTCCCTCTGCCAGACAGAACTGTTCAGAGGCAGCTGAAGCCTGAATGAGCCTCCGGCAAGGAGGCAACAGTCTGTGTGGCCTGTCAGGAGACAGACTTCTGACTCCTGGCCAGGCAGGGGGATGGACCGCCTGACCCTCAGCTTCAGCCTGAGTTGTCTGGCAGGCCCTGCAGTAAACATTCCAGAGATGGGCAAAACAAGTGTTTCTCCTGGGAAGGTGAGTCCCGTGGAGGCCAGAGCTGCTTGGGTGGTATTGGTGTAGTGCAGCGCGTTCTGGGTTCTGGGTTAGAATCTTGACCAGGGCTGCCGGTGGTGTGCGTGGGACCCTGAACGGTGACCCCCACATCGTAATCATTGTGGACTTGTAGGTGTGTTTCTACAGTGTACCAGTAGATGGCAGTAGAGCGTCTTGAGCGCAGGAGACACCACGGCCTCTCCCTGGAAGACATTATTCATTTCCCCAGTCAGCAAACATTCGTTAAACATGCGCCTGTGCCCTGGCACGTTGTGCCGGATACTGAAGATCCAGTGAGTGTTGAGACACGGTTTCGGGTTTCCAGGGAGCTCACAGACTAGGTAGGTGTATGGGGGCAGAGGACAGGCAAACAAGTGTAATTCCAGCATGGGGTGATATGTGTCATATGGTTGTTAAGTACTGCACCTCGTGAGAATCCAGAGGAGGGACATCTAACCCAGCCTTGTTAAGGGGGTGCTTTCAAGGAAAACTTGACTAAATAGGTGGGGATCTTGGAACATGAGAAAGAGGTAGCGAGAGAAGGGAGAACAGCATGTGCAAAGGCTCAGAGTCATAAAAGCATAGGAATCACAGGAAGTTGAGTGTCCATGAGGTGGGCAGAAAACTGAAGAAGAAATGGGCCATAGGTCAGCAGGGTCCAGATTATGAAGGACCTCGAGGGTCTGGACTGAATCCCAGAAATCTTAAAGCACAAGATCACCGTTGCCACTTAGAGGCTCTGTTTGAGCCTGCTGGGACTGCTTCCGGCCCTACTGCCCCTCAGGGTCGACTTCGAGGTCAACAGGAGGAAGGATGTGAATGGCTTGCTGGCCTTCTGTACCAGTGCCGCCTATTTACCATCATCGTCAGTCACTTATTGCACAGATGGGACAGATCAAAGTGAGGTGAACGGTATTTCTGATCTGTAACCTCCAAGAGGGTAGGATTATGTTTGTTTGTGGGTCTCTGCACATGGCACCCGTAGCCACAGAGTAAACACTCGTTGGTTCTTTGTTGTCATTGTTGATTCTGTTTTGGGCCCTGGGCTGTATACTTTGGAGCTTTCAACGTGCTGGGAACCTTTCTAAGTGCTTTGTATGGTGTGTCTCATTTAATCCTCACAACACCCCTGTGGAATAGATACTGTGATAATCCCCACTTCCCAGATGTGGAAACAGGCACATGGAGAGCCTCAGTGTTGAGTTGAGTTACCAAGGGGTGGACAGCGAGTGAGTGGTGGTGCTGGGATTGCATCCAGGTAGTCCGGCCCTGAGTCCAGTACACTCTACTCACTGCCCTGTGCATAGAGGACCAAGTGAATTTCTCACCACACCTTGGCTGGTGGACCTTATCACCACTTGACAAATGAAGAAACTATGACTGGAGGGGTTAAGTAACTTTTCCTAGAATATGTAGTGAGTGAGTTGTAGAGCTAAGATTTTGCCCAAACCTGTGTGATTCCAGATCCATGTTCTTTCCAGTACACCAGTGATTGTACTCATTGGTTGCCATCCTGAGGTCCCAGGCTCACATAGTACTTCTTTTAAACTCAAGTGATAGCGTCATCTGCCTTAAGTCCTACTCTGGCCCTTAAAGCTATACCCCTCCTGACAGCAGAATAGGACCCTGCAGATTGCACCCTTAGATCATGCAGTGGGTAACCAGAATTGTAGAATTCCCTGCCCATAGGGACCCAGGCCCAGTTCCAGGGCCTGTGTAGGTCAGTTCCCAGATTCATTCTCCCCAGGGATGGCCAAGACACCGTTGATGGGTGTGGGCGAGGAGATGGAGCTTGGCCTCATGGGCTGAGCCATCCACAAGCATGCATAAGAAGCCCCAGTGATGCAGGACAGAGAGGAGGTGAGAGGAGAATGAGGAAGGTTGATGGGAACCAAGAGCTGGCAACCCACATGCCACCACATTCTGGGTGGATCTCCAAGAATTCCAATATGTTTAAATTATGATCCTTCCAGGTCACTATGAAGTTGTATTAGTCAAAGAGGGAAGACAAACATGCTTTACTTAAATGTTTGCTAGTTTAATCAATTTTAAATATGCGGTATATGATACATAGGCTTCCATTTGTTCTTTTGTCCCAGGCTGTACAAATATTAGAGGTGAACTTATTCCAGTGCCTGGAGTTTGCCAGCACTACGTTCCAGGATTCACAGTAAAATTCACAAACTATGTGAAAAGATTCCCTTTGCATGAGGCTGGCTGCACACACATTTTGTCAAAGACCATCCTGGTAAAAAAAATAAATCTTGCTTTTAAGTCACAGTAACAGCTCCTGTTCCTACTAAAGTCCTACCTAGTTGTCATCTAAGCCTGTCAACATTGTAAGAAAAAGTAGCATTAATATTAAAGCTGTCAGGCAGTAACTCGGGCAGTCTTAGAAAGAGATGAACTCCATTGCTGTCAGCTAAATGTAGGTAGAGAGACCCTTCAGAAGTAGACAGACTGCAGCTTGGTCAGAGAAATTGTAGCAAAGATTCTTTCTTTCGTATATGGAAGGTTGAAATAAGAGATAGCAACATCCATGTTCCAGGGAAAAGAATAGAAGAAGAAACTAAGAAAAAGATTCTTGAATGTAATCCATAAGATTACTGATTAGAACTCAATCACATGGCCACACCTAGCTGAATGGAGGGTTGGGATATACATTTCTTGGTGCCAATCTATAAACTCTCTTACTGTGGAAAAAGAGGAGAATGGGGGTTGGGAGCAAAGAGCTGCCTTTGCCCCAGAGAGGGTTTATGGAAATGCTTAACACAGTGCTCAGATTACAGCAAGTCACAAAGAGCTATTAGTTTCATCAGACCAACAATCAAAAAAAGCAAATGGAAACTTGTGTTATTTTTGCTTTGAGGAAAAAGATCTAAACCCAGGAGCACTCCAACATTTGCTACTGTTTCTCAGGGCTGAGCAAAAGCATAGGTGTGGAAATGGAAGTCCAGGATTCAAGCCACTTAGGCAATATATTTCATCTCTCTGGGTTTCAGTTTCCTTGTCTATAGGATGGAAATAATAATACCCACCTCATGGTGGTGGCTGCAGGCATTAAATGAGAAAGACTATAGGTTAAAACATATAGTACAATTTGTAGCACAGAGTATGTACTCAGCAAGTGTTTTTCCCCCCATCTATTTCCTCAATCATTTATTCATTGAACAAATATTTTTTCTATTCTATTATTTATTTTTAATTTTAATTTCTTTTTGTTGAAGTACAGTTGGTCTACAATGTTATATTAATTTCTAGTGTACAGCATAGTGATTCAGTTATACATATACATATACATATATATATATATTCCTTTTCATGTTCTTTTTCATTATAGCTATTACAAGGTATTGAATATAGTTCCCTGTGCTATACAGTAGGTCCTTGCTGTTTATCTACTTTGTATATGGTAATTAGTGTCCTCAAATCCCAAACTCCCAATTTATCCCTCCATCACGGCACTCTGGTAGGTGTTGAGAATAGAATGATGAGTAAGATAGATTGCTCATGACCTGAAGGAGCTGTTTTGTAGTTTGATAGGACACAGGCATGAAACCTAGTTACTTATTGTAAGTAATTATAATTGCAATAAGTGCTGTGAAACAAAAGTAGAGTATGAAAAGAGAATTTATATGAGGGAAGAGATGACTAAAGCAAAGATTAGGGTGCTTATAGAAAAAAATGGTCAAGTGGATGGATTTGAGAAATAATTAGAATGTAGGATCAACAGAGATAGGGAGAGAGACAGAGGTAACAAGAATGAAGTCTGTGTTTTTGCCTTGAGTGATGTGTAAATGGAATGCCATTTACTGATAATGGGAAGACAGAAGAGGAGGTTTAGAGGGAAGATAATAGAAGGATGGTTGGATGGATGGGTGGACAGACAAAGGGACAGATGAGGTCTGCTTCATTGGACAGATGGACACATAAAGCAATGAGTGGATGGATAGATCAATTTAATAAGTCCTGTATGAATTATATAGGGTTTAAATAAAAATAATCCTGCACTATTTACTTATGTAGGATTCTTTATCTCTTTTGATCCTTAAAATAATGCTTAGAAATATATCACACAGGTATTTATATCTTCCTTTTACGAAAGGTATAACTGAGACACAGGGAGGTAAAGCGACTTGGCAGAACCAGAACCTGAGTCTCTAGTCCTTCCATCCAGTACTCTTTCACCTCTCCCGCACAATACATATAAATAATGGGAAAATCATCAGTCTAGGTGGGAGAAGAGAGCTGGAAGGTAGGGAATGTGCACCCCTGGGGATAAGGTCTTTGGGAGAAGGGAGAAAAGAGTGAAGCAGTTTTTACTCAGTGAATTTCTTCTTCTCCTTTATAGGGCCAAGTATTTCCATGGAAAGAAGGTGAATGGAGAGATTGAGATCCGAGTGGAACAGGTAGGTTGGAACTGAGTCTTTAGCACTATTGCCCTGACCTTTTCTATAATTGGAGTCATTCCCAGCAGCAGGCTTGGTCCCCATCCTATGTGGCTGTCATGAGCCAATTTACCAGAAAAATCCTGGCTTATACCTGGGAATCTTGTTAAATTCCAGGATTATGTAGTCCAATGGTTTTCAACCTTTTTGTTTTAGCAGCAGAACCTTTCTTCAAGGGAAATCTCAAGTAGAAGCCCATTCTCAAAATAGAGACAAGTAGAGCTTCTCTGATGGAAATGGGCATAGGGAGCCTGAAAGTCTGTCTGCTCCATCCTGTTCCGCCTCCCTGCATTCCCCACCATGGTCCTTGGAACCACTTGGGATAAGAAGCACAATATAGGAACACAATGGGTTTGAACCTATCTCCCTCATTTTCTAAGTATTGGGCAAATGGTTCTTTCTGTGTGTTATTTTCCTTGTGTCGTTGTTGTTGAGATTAAATTATGTCAAGCCTCAAAAGAGATTAGAATCTCGAATAGCGGCTCTTGTTGTTACTACTAGTATCAACATCCATGCCCCTCATTTTGTGGGAAAGGAAGCACAGACTTGCCCAAGGCTGCATATGAGATCAGTTGCAGAATTAGGATGAGAATTTGAGGTCTCCAGATCTAGGGCTCCTCCCATTCATTCAGTTAACACTTGTTGGGGACCAACTTAATGCTAAGCACTGTGCTCGGCCTGAAGAGAGCACATCAGAGCATGGGCTCTTTATCTAGACTCTAGTTTCAAATCCCAACTAACTGTGTGATGTTGGTTGAGCAATAGTTGAGCTCTGTGAAGCTCAGTTTCTTCTTACAATTGGGGTAACACAGCATCAACTTCACAGAGCAGCTGTGAGGATCAAATGAGTTCATCCATGAAAAGTACTTAGAACAGCACCTGGCACATATCAGTACTTTATAAATGTTACCCATTTGTCATAATCATCATTATCAAAGGCAAACAGTTAATAAGATAGAAAAGGTCCCTGCTATAAGATGAACTCAGAAAAGCACCACAAGAAAATAGAGAGGTGTGACTTTTCCAGCACTCTTTGAGTTTGGTGTGTTGGAGGAACCGAAAGCCTTTTTGGGCATCAAATTTGAGTTGGCTTAGTATTAAAACACCTACAGCTTGAATTTCAATTTGATCCTGTGGCTTTCAAGTCTGTCCAATGTCTACTGGTTTTCCTTCCATGGCAAATAACAGGTTGTTTTTGTTCACTTAACGAGTATTTGTCAAACGTCTACTGTGGTATTCACTAACATGTGGGGAACAAGGATATAGAAGCAGAGGCTCTGTCCCAAAAAGCCTGTGGTCTAGGAAGGGAGGCAAGATAAGTCTTCACAGAACCTCAACACAGGAGGAGTCCAGGAAAGAGGGGTCCAAACTTAGTGCCACAAGCACCAGAGGCCACAACTAATTGATGGAGTCAGAAATGGCTTCAACGAGTGGGTGGTATTTGAAATGGATTTTAAAGGGTGAATAGGATTTCAATAAGTGGAGATGGCAATGGAAAGAATGTATGAGATTGAAGCAGCATAAGGAGACTGGAAGTACAAGGTGTGGAATGATGTGGGGACACTGTCTTTCCTTGGCCTCCACCTGAACATCCTCCCAGAGTCCCTCTCAGAGAAGAGTGCCACCATCTACCTTCTGCCTTAGCCAGAAACCTGCATGGTCTCCTGGATGCCTCCCTCTCCCTCCACCACTGCACTCATTCAATGGCCAGATGCTGCTGACTCCACACCCCACATCTCTCTGTCCATCCACTTCTCTCCACTCCCATTGCCTTCATCCTTGGCTGAACCATCATCAGCTCTCATCCAGTCTTCCTAATCAGTAGCCTCCTAATTTCAACTTTTCATCCACTTTCAATTTATTTTTTGTGCTAAAACCAGAGTGACCTTTCTAAAAAAGCAAATTAGATTTTTTTAAAGTGTTAGTTTCAAAATTCATTTCTCAAATGTCTCCTTATCTGAGCTTTCCCACTCCATTCTAAATCAGGTAACCTGTTTATTCCCTTTTCATAGCACCCCAGCTTTTCCTTTCTAGCCCTTATCTGGGTTTTTAACCACATAGTTAGATGTGGGATGATTTGCATGCAGGCAGGGACCATGGCTGTTTAGATCTCGCTCTGTTAAATAACACAGGGCCTGGCACATACTAAAATGGAAGCAAATATTTGCAGAATGAATAACTGATGGATTCCACAGATTCCAGGCTATGGAGATAAATCACTGTTCCATTCAAAAATTTGAGTTTTCCATAAACCATCTGGTAAATGCTTGGTTGCCAGCTTAGCTAGCCCTGTCTCATTACATTTGTGAAACCTTCAGGGGCTTGTTTTAATTTTACCTTTTAATATCAGTGCTGCCCCTGGCCCAACATATGGGTGCAAAAACTATAAGCAGGAGCATCAAAGGGAATTGCCCTAAGAATAACTCACCCAAGACACTGGGGACACTCAGCTAGTCTATGAGGGCTACAATCAAGCTGGAAAATGTTGGCTAGTTTAGAATCATCTTGATTTTCAGTCATTCCCTCCATGTCACCCAGAAGGCAAATTAGCCAGGATACCAATTAGCAGGTCATTTGGGCATTTTTCTGTGGAAGATATTCCTTCCTAAACTCATTTTAGAGTCTGAATTGTTTGTCTCCTCCCATCTGGATCAGTGGGTGGGTCACATAAGCATCCCCCCTAGGAATCTCACATGCATCCTCTAGCGCTTAGGAAAAGCCTTAGGATGGAAGCCACTGTTTAGTCTGAGCTGGCCTCACATTTTGGAATTCTGTCTCCCAACTAAGGGCCAAATTAACCAGATAATTGCACTGTCTGGGTTTTGCTGGACAGAACGAATGAGTTAGTTGTGGTTGGCCTAGAGGAAGCCTCCGCCCCTTCTCTCCACCCTCTTTCCCCAGTTTAAAAACTGTTTGCCTCAGCTTTTGCAGAGCCAGAAATCAAGAAGCCCTGGGGAGGCCAGTGGGGGGAACTGCCTCATGTTGCATTCCATTACCCAGAATGCCCTGTTGGCTCTGCGGGGCCTCACAGCAGTGTCCTAGAAGGGCCTGAGAGGTTCCGGCCAGGGTGGTTGGCATGTCAAGCTCTCCTCTGTTTATTTTTGAGGCAAAGGGTCTCTTTCTCCACAGGTACAAGTCACCCCTCTGTGGGACTCGGCAATGAGGTTGATGAATGGATTAATATCAAGTAGACTCACAGTTCTGAGACTAGCAGGACTTGGTGGGACAGAGCCTTTGGCTTCATTCTTATCTAATAAAGAAGGCTGAAATTACAACAGTCAGTCTTTCCTTGGTGTTAGTGGAGGTACCAAAACATGAGGAATGACAGTGTCTTGCTCCTGCAGATGGTGAGAAAGATGAGAGAAGGTGAAGATCCTTCTCTTTTGAAGCTGGGCAAGCACATATTTCCATACAGTGGAGTCTTGTTCTTGTGTGATGTTGGAGTTGAGATGGGGTGGGGAAGATGTGTATGGATCCCAGAGAAGGCTGTTGGTTGGAGTCCTGTTTATCTTCTGCCCTTTATCTATTTCCTTAACTAAAATGTCTTCTGGAATCAAAGATGGAATTTCTCTCTTTAAATATTTTAAACATTCAAGATCGCTGTGTATGTTTTTTCTCATACCCACTTTAGCCTATCATCCACACTTCTTTCTGGGGCAACGTTTCTTAGAGTGGACTTAACTGTAGATATTGACATAAAGGCCATGTGATATTTCAAGAAACAGTAGTCAACGAGGTAGAGAAATAGAGATTGGATGTTAATGCATTTTTGTGGATTGGTAACAGGTGGGACATCACCCCCGTCAGGAACTGACTACTTGATAGTAATACACCTTAAGAGAAATACATCTAATGCTTTGCCAACGAGCTCGGTCTGCCCTTGGCTCTGTTCTGTTTCTCCTTCTTAACAGTGATTTATTGAATTACATTTGCCGATGACTTGAAGTTAATGGGAGCAAGAGTACTGGATTAAATTTGATACGATCAAACTGAATGGGGATACAATGTAAGGTCCCATTCAAAAACTCAGCTGAAGAGGAGCAGGATTGGGGAGACTTAGCTTATTAAAATAGCATGAGGGAAAAAAAGACCTGAAATTTGAGTTGAACAAAGTCTTAATATTTGTGAGAGGAAGTATGGTATGGAGGTTAAGATTGTGGCTCCAGAGTAAGATAAATTAGAGATGGAATTTCAGCTCCACCATATTTTAGCTGTGTTGACCTTCCACTTATAACATCTCTAGGCATCAGTTTCTTCATCTGAAAAATGAGTATAATAATATCTACCCCCTAGAGTTAATGTGTGGAGTGAATGAGTCAGTGTAAGTATTTTGTTTGGCATAGTTTCTGGCACATATATTAAGAGCTCAGTAACTGTAGTTATGGTTATTACTCCCCCCAAACCTAATGCCACTGCAGGCTTCATTATCAAAGTACAGCATTAGAGTCCAGGAAGGTGATGGTACACACACACACACACTCTCTCTCTCTCTCTCTCTCTCTCTCTGTCTTTCTCTCTCTCTCTCTCTCACTATTCTAGTTAGACTCTTGTGAGAGATCCAGTTATACCGTCCTACTGGGAGAAGGTAGTAGCAACCTGGAATGACTTCTGAAGAGAGTGGCTGAAGTGAGAGAAGCAAAGAAAATCAGTGTAAGCAACTGAAGATGTTTAGTCCAGAGAAAGAGAGGTCTTTGGTAGGACCCACTCTATTCTTTGTAAATATCTACCACCTGAATGAGTGGTTGAAAAGAGTTATAGCTACCATATGTTGAGTACTTACAAGATAAGGATAAATGCTTTTTGTTGTTGGGATGGACACTGTCATTGCCTCTATCTTACAGAAGCTGAGGCTCAGAGGGAATAAGTGGCTTTCCCAGGGTAGCCTGATTTATAATTGGCAGGAGCCTGTTTTTGAACCCAGACAGTCTGAATTAAGAGTCCCCCTCTTATCTACTACATTT